AGCGTAAACTTGGTGTTTATTCACACTTTGGGCTTAGTTTAGGACAATATATTGAAGGGTCCGTAGTCATTCAAACTGCCTACAGGACAAAAAGAACGAATCAGTACAACAGCCAAAGAACGTGTGAGTTTTGTTTGCGTGCTAATCGGAATACTGGTTTTCTTGATTCGAGATTAATCGTAATGGTAATGAAAATCCTAGACAAACATCCATTTTGTAATCTACCCCGTAGTTTCAGTTTCATCGGTTATCCCCGCGGTTGCATATGGGTTGGTTTCTGAGCCTAACCTTACTCCTCTTGGATTTCCTATTTCCCAAACAATATTAAATGCGGCGCTAGCGCAGTACTTAATTAATTGCTAGATACAACTTAGAGTAAATGGCAGCTTGAGAATGGGTGTGAGCCAGGCTGACCAGCCTTTTCCTAGCGGACCAGCTTATACAACGGGAATACATATCAGAACGGATCAACTATTTAAGTAGGAAACTCGCCTAAATCATGATTCCACATATTGAGCACGAAGCTTTGTTTACAATACGAGTTCAGCCAAAGAGAAGTACAACACTCATCTTATTGTGCACCTCGTTTCGTCATCCAAATTCCCACCAGACGTAAAAATTACCTTTTACTCCAGAGAGGACTAAGACAGTTTTGCTGTTGCAAATCCTACTGCTGAATGAATTATACAAACAACCGTAGGATCATTAAGCTGCTTTTGGCTAAACTAACCGCTGACTTGAATACTAATCATTGCCATGACTTTCTTCGCAGGTTAGCATAACAATCCGACATCCGCCCTAAGCTGTTTGTAAGCCGGCTTTGTGCAATAACATTGAACAAAAACATCAAGCACGGACACGTATTTCCAAACCGGTTGACTCCTGGGTCACAAAAATTCTTATTAGCTTCATGTCTCACACCACTGGCTGCAGCTCTAGACTTCCTGATACAGTATTCCCAGTAACGAACGACTCCTTCATTAGTGGACAGAAACAAACGCCTTAGACAAACAAAAAATTATCCGCGAACCACACAAATCTTGCGCTAGTTCAATGTAGATGGACTTCCTTCATGTATGCGATCTCATGTTTTTCTGAGGAGATGTGTAATAATATTTTAACTGTCCTCGGTTCTGTTCCATTTTGGCTTATTGCAAATTACAGAGGAATCAAAGACGAACGCTGATTTTGCATGGAATATTTCGCCTCTACGCAGCAGTACAATGTTCTACTTCACCATCTGGGAAGCAAGCTCGTCTGTAAACCGTTGTTGAAATAAGCTATGGAGATATAACAAAAATATCCTTCCTCTGAGGGAATAGTGTTTTGAAAATGATCGTAAAACAATAGGGGAATCATGGATAACATCGTACGGGAGTGCTGAATATACGTGAATGGCTAAATCTTGAAGTTGACAATGAAAAAGTGGTCAAATTCTACGTTGGCACTTTTCAGGGGCGTTTTCTTCTAGGCACTTAGGTTTCTTCTTACTTTGTCTACAAACCCGTGGTCACCAAAAGGCCTCTTTCACACTGTTGAGGTCTTGAGTCTACGGAATGCTCGGAGTGGCAAGGTTACCTAAATATATACACAAATCGGGACAAACGCCATTTTGACTCAACGATATCCAGTTCACGTGGATTTGTGAAAAGAAGATCTTCGCAGCGGAATTATTTATTAGAATATACCAACTGAACAGTTACAAACTGTTGAACACGGAAGCAAAATTATCATATGCTTCGTGTTTGAAAAACTAAAAATATCCATCCTCTCTCCGAACGGGTCCTCCTGAACTTTTCTGGATATTCATTGACTGTTGCTGAAATCCAAGCAAATGCTACAAAACGGTTCCACAAATTTCGCAGTAAATCCATCTTTTAAAGAGACGCAATCAGAATTTACAAGAAGAAAAAATACTACTCGCATGCCCTTAACATCAGCAGTATCACCGTTACACACCTTCACCCTCTAAAAGTCGTTCGCACGCCATCAATTTTCATTTGCCTCCAACCAAACGGCTTCGGCAGCAGGTCTACTCGGCCGCTCTCCGGATGAATCATGCCACTCACGAAGCTGCGTCCCACTTACTCTTTTCGATCTCCGACAAATTTGAATTGTATAGATGTTTCTCCGACGGTCGGCAAAAACAAACGGCCCCTGCCATCGACTGCCTAGCTTCCGCGACCCCAGTACACCCCTTCCAGTATTCTTATGATCCTTCCACTTAACCTTCGTGCCTATGGGGAGTGTTCGTGCCCTTCGAGTTGCCGTTTTCTGTCTAGTCCTTTCTCGAACGACAGTCAAGTTTTCTCTAGCTCTCCTGCTTTCTTCCTCTAGCTCCTCCGGATACATGCGTGTTGCCGGGCACAACCCAATTTCCTGATCAACCGGAAGGCGCAAATATCGAACGTACATCAGCACTAGTGGGGACTCGCCTGTGGTTTGCCTTATGGTACCACGATAAGCTGGCAACACTATTGGCAAGTCCACTTTCCAGTTACCTTTGGCCGCCAGCCACTCCTTGATCGTTCGGTTAGTACGTTCGGTTAGACCATTTGTTTGCGGGTGGTGTGATGCCCCCCTTAGCCGCCTGATACCCAGCTTCTGCAAGCAATTCCTAAACTCTTCGCTCTCGAAACAAGGCCTCCGATCGGTTAGGACAATTTTTGGCACCCCATGATTGGCCACGATGTGATGCATTACCACTCCGCTGATCGTCGTCGCCCGCTGATTCGGCACGGCTGCCGCCTCAATCCACGGCGACAGATATTTTGTCATTATCACGGTGTATTGATTCCCGCTAGTTGTCACCGGAAAGGGGCCCATGTCAACTCACCATAACCCGCCGAATTCTGAGACAGGACTAGGTTGCATGGGACGGGTCGTCCCTGTCGTATTCCCTTTCATCAGTTGGCACCGATTACAGGACGCCAAATAATACATCACCTCACTGCTCCCGGGCCAGTAGGCCCTCTGCCGAAGTAAGTCGTACTCATCTTATTGTGCACCTCGTTTCGTCATCCAAATTCCCACCAGACGTAAAAATTACCTTTTACTCCAGAGAGGACTAAGACAGTTTTGCTGTTGCAAATCCTACTGCTGAATGAATTATACAAACAACCGTAGGATCATTAAGCTGCTTTTGGCTAAACTAACCGCTGACTTGAATACTAATCATTGCCATGACTTTCTTCGCAGGTTAGCATAACAATCCGACATCCGCCCTAAGCTGTTTGTAAGCCGGCTTTGTGCAATAACATTGAACAAAAACATCAAGCACGGACACGTATTTCCAAACCGGTTGACTCCTGGGTCACAAAAATTCTTATTAGCTTCATGTCTCACACCACTGGCTGCAGCTCTAGACTTCCTGATACAGTATTCCCAGTAACGAACGACTCCTTCATTAGTGGACAGAAACAAACGCCTTAGACAAACAAAAAATTATCCGCGAACCACACAAATCTTGCGCTAGTTCAATGTAGATGGACTTCCTTCATGTATGCGATCTCATGTTTTTCTGAGGAGATGTGTAATAATATTTTAACTGTCCTCGGTTCTGTTCCATTTTGGCTTATTGCAAATTACAGAGGAATCAAAGACGAACGCTGATTTTGCATGGAATATTTCGCCTCTACGCAGCAGTACAATGTTCTACTTCACCATCTGGGAAGCAAGCTCGTCTGTAAACCGTTGTTGAAATAAGCTATGGAGATATAACAAAAATATCCTTCCTCTGAGGGAATAGTGTTTTGAAAATGATCGTAAAACAATAGGGGAATCATGGATAACATCGTACGGGAGTGCTGAATATACGTGAATGGCTAAATCTTGAAGTTGACAATGAAAAAGTGGTCAAATTCTACGTTGGCACTTTTCAGGGGCGTTTTCTTCTAGGCACTTAGGTTTCTTCTTACTTTGTCTACAAACCCGTGGTCACCAAAAGGCCTCTTTCACACTGTTGAGGTCTTGAGTCTACGGAATGCTCGGAGTGGCAAGGTTACCTAAATATATACACAAATCGGGACAAACGCCATTTTGACTCAACGATATCCAGTTCACGTGGATTTGTGAAAAGAAGATCTTCGCAGCGGAATTATTTATTAGAATATACCAACTGAACAGTTACAAACTGTTGAACACGGAAGCAAAATTATCATATGCTTCGTGTTTGAAAAACTAAAAATATCCATCCTCTCTCCGAACGGGTTCTCCTGAACTTTTCTGGATATTCATTGACTGTTGCTGAAATCCAAGCAAATGCTACAAAACGGTTCCACAAATTTCGCAGTAAATCCATCTTTTAAAGAGACGCAATCAGAATTTACAAGAAGAAAAAATACTACTCGCATGCCCTTAACATCAGCAGTATCACCGTTACACACCTTCACCCTCTAAAAGTCGTTCGCACGCCATCAATTTTCATTTGCCTCCAAAAGGTCGGCTTCGGCAGCAGGTCTACTCGGCCGCTCTCCGGATGAATCATGCCACTCACGAAGCTGCGTCCCACTTACTCTTTTCGATCTCCGACAAATTTGAATTGTATAGATGTTTCTCCGACGGTCGGCAAAAACAAACGGCCCCTGCCATCGACTGCCTAGCTTCCGCGACCCCAGTACACCCCTTCCTGTATTCTTGTGATCCTTCCACTTAGCCTTCGTGCCTATGGGGAGTGTTCGTGCCCTTCGAGTTGCCGTTTTCTGTCTAGTCCTTTCTCGAACGACAGTCAAGTTTTCTCTAGCTCTCCTGCTTTCTTCCTCCTTCGAGTTTTTTCTGTCTAGTCCTTTCTCGAACGACAGTCAAGTTTTCTCTAGCTCTCCTGCTTTCTTCCTCTAGCTCCTCCGGATACATGCGTGTTGCCGGCCGCAACCCAATTTCCTGATCAACCGGAAGGCGCAAATATCGAACGTACATCAGCACTAGTGGGGACTCGCCTGTGGTTTGCCTTATGGTACCACGATAAGCTGGCAACACTATTGGCAAGTCCACTTTCCAGTTACCTTTGGCCGCCAGCCACTCCTTGATCGTTCGGTTAGTACGTTCGGTTAGACCATTTGTTTGCGGGTGGTGTGATGCCCCCCTTAGCCGCCTGATACCCAGCTTCTGCAAGCAATTCCTAAACTCTTCGCTCTCGAAACAAGGCCTCCGATCGGTTAGGACAATTTTTGGCACCCCATGATTGGCCACGATGTGATGCATTACCACTCCGCTGATCGTCGTCGCCCGCTGATTCGGCACGGCTGCCGCCTCAATCCACGGCGACAGATATTTTGTCATTATCACGGTGTATTGATTCCCGCTAGTTGTCACCGGAAAGGGGCCCATGTCAACTCACCATAACCCGCCGAATTCTGAGACAGGACTAGGTTGCATGGGACGGGTCGTCCCTGTCGTATTCCCTTTCATCAGTTGGCACCGATTACAGGACGCCAAATAATACATCACCTCACTGCTCCCGGGCCAGTAGGCCCTCTGCCGAAGTAAGTCGTACGTCTTGGTGTACCCTGTATGTGCCATCTTGTGGCATCGGACGATAAGCATCCGTCTCAGGACGTGGGGTATCACGGGTAGTACAACACCCAAATCAGTGGCGTTCCAGGAGACTTTTCCAGCTTCATTCAGCCTTAGCCGATCAAATTGTCTCTGGAACGTTTCCAATTCCTTACCTTACCCTTCGTTCTCAATGCTCCTTCCATGCAATAAGGTGGTCGCAACCTTCCGCAAAGCAGGATCCTGGAGTTGCACAAACCTTCCGGGATCCAGTTCGACGACGAGGCCAATGGCCCCAATCATGATCCTGGAGGCCTCATCTTCAGCCTCTGGTCTTGACAGCCAATTAGTCAAGTGGTTCTCCTTCCCTGGTTCTACTGCGACTAAAACGTGCCTAGTGGTGGCTCGTCCAATTCCCGTGCTAGGTGCACCAGCCCCTCCACACGCAACTTGGCACCAAGCGCGGGCTGAACTCCTCTGATGAATTGGTTGGACAGTAACTCGTGGCGCGACACTCCGTCTAGCCCCAGCAAAGCGCGATCCAACCACTGCTGCAGGCCGGCAAGAACACGGTCGTGTCAGGTCCGGGTGCCATCCTGGCCGTCTTGAACCGCCCCATAGCCTCCTGTCGGTCGAACTCCGCTGCAAGGAATTCCTTCGTGACGGTCCACTCCATCTTCCGACGACCTTTCCTGGCCACATCCAAGGCCGCATTCGCCCGGCATCTGAGGAGAATCTTCAGCGCCGCAAACTTACCCCGTCCGGCAGCCTCCGCAACTTCCTCAAAGTTCTGCAAGGAGGTCCGAAAAATCCCGTCCCAAAAGGGTTGTGACCACGGTATCTTCAAACTTATCCTGATCACGGCACCAAATGAAAGGAAGGTCATCGCTGCGGAGTTATTAATTAGAAAATACCAACTAAACGATTACAGACTATTGGACACGGAAGCAAAATTCTCATATGCTTCGTGTTTAAAAAACTAAAAATATCCATCCTCTCTCTGAACGGGTATTCCTGAACGTTTCTGGGTATTCATTGACTGGTGCTGAAATTCCAGCAAATGCTACGAAGCGACTCCACAAATTCCGCAACAGATCTTCCTTCTCAAGAGACGCAAAGCGAATTTACAAGAAAATGTACTACTCGTATGCCTCTCCATCAGTGGTATCACCGTTATACTGGTAGCTTGTCCTATCAGCATGCTTAACCAAGACCAAACCTTCACGGAATTCTCTGGTTTTCCATTCTCTAGCCTGATTCCGGCCAAACGGTGATAATCACGGAGTTTCGGTTCTAGCTCAACCACTAGTCTGGAACACTTAGTTGGTCAGTGTAGCGAGGTATGTAGTTCACAGTTCCACTCTTTTACACTGTGCTGTTTGCTTCGAGTGGATCAATAACCTGAACTGCTGGAAACTCATCCCAGAATCAGAGGCGTATGCTTCTGCTCTGATCTGCGATGATCATGCAAAGACACCCATGTTTTATGTCGCCAATATCCATACCATACTGTTTTGTGTTTCCGACACAAAATACAGTTCAGATTTTCGCTGACGTCGGCTAGCTATCAAGGCCTTTACCAACCATGGTTTCTGTACCTTCCACTCAGTTAGTCATGCAGAATGGCTTGACTGCTTGGTAATTTGGTATCATGTCGCATTCATACATCAATCTAACAGGGCGAAACGACTGTTTCCGAAAATGCCTACTTGCAGTGTCACCAGCAGGCAGCACTACATGTGGTACAAAATATCTCGTCCTTGAAAACGTGTCTGTAGATTGTGTGAACTAGATGGCAAACAACGAAACGTGTCAAGACAGTAAGAAAATTAGTATTGTTCCTTATTTGGGTCGAAGACTGATCATATGAGCTGAAAAAAGGAACGCAAGATTATGTTTAGGACATAGCCTCGTATCAAGCTACACTTTTCTTCCTCGACTGCTCACAAGGCGTCAAACGTTAGAACACCCATACAGGCAAGTGACAATTTTGTACGCGGGTATTTTTGTCTCCTTTAATTAAGCCACTGAGGTTCACCCCTCCGTAGTTTTACACCATAGGCTTAAAACATATCGCTAAAGTCCATAACTTCATTCTATTGGCCATTTAAACTTTGGTTTCTATTAACTTTTTAATGTACCACTTAAATCCACTATATCATTTAACATTACATGAAACGCAGTAGGTTACCACCTTATTCCGACTGCCGCAAATACTGAGTTACACTTCTTTAAATAAACTGTAACAGCATATGCGAACTGTCGGGAAATAATCACAACAAAAAAACATCGCATGGTCGATTGCAACTTGTTGTAGTTAAGCTAGCCCATTTCCGCATAAGAAGGCCGTAGCATAACGGGTTCTTTATTCATTTATATTGAATGAATTTTCAGAAAATTTGTAATCGATGTATGCCCAACTGGATTTAGTGGTGGAAATCTACGGTGTTCACTGCTACCCGTTGGGGACACACTAAGATTTAAATTTAGGCTAATCCGTAAGTCTGATCAAGAGTGACGCTCACTGTTCATGATTAGAGCAGCGCCCAATTTAGGGTCTGTTGTGGTTTTCTCACTTTCCATAAATTGTGTGCATCCGAACAAATAGTGCTATCCTATAGATCCACAACTTAGGGAAGAGTTGAGAGCGATTGTCGAAATCGTTTACGCACTTCTCAATGCCGAAATCTAACTATCTGTGATACTATGTATAGCCAGGAACAACTATAATAGTTTTTACGATGTGTGTGTGCTATTCTCCAATATCAAGTTACTCTATCATCCGAACGAATCACAAGTTTTGCTCTTGAACAGGATTCAGCAGTAGCTGTATCTGTATCTGTGATCTGTATCCATGATATAGTGTCTCACATACGCCTGGATATTCCAGCTTTCTTCTCACTTACGACCACGTAAAATGAAGCCGATTAAGGGTTATATAAACTTGCATCGCGGGTCAGGGCAGCATTCTAAGTTTTTCGCAAAGTAGACCGTGATGAAAGCAGAAATCACATCGGACAGGTGTAGCCGTATGCACTACAGTTAGCATAAGTATGCGGCATATTCACCAAGGCTGCTTTCTCACAGAACACCCAATATCACTTGAGCAAATCTCAGCCAGAGGGCTTGATTAAACTAGCACTGTGTATTCCATAGAACGTGAGGCGACGGATACACACCTGTCATGGATACGAGGCCTAACAGAGACAACAGGGCAGTAATTAGCGTTAAAATGAAGTGAAAAATGATAAGTATTTGAGCAGTCCACTTAGGTGAATAGAGGGAGTCGTCTGCTATATGCTATATTTTAAAGGAATTCGGCTAAGGTAGTGCCCCAAATAACGTTCAGCCGAAAGGCAAAAAAGGAACGAGGCGATTGGCTAACACATGACTGACATATTTTGCAACGTTTCAGGCAAAAGAACTTGAGCTGTCAAATATAAAAGAATTTCAAAAAGCCTTTATTCAGTTAGTAAACACCAAAGATTTACGGGTAAACACCCCCGCAAAAACTGAAGTCCTCTTTTAACTGCGTACCAGCAGTAAAAAAACCATGAACCTTTTTGTGGAATAGAAGAGGAATGTGAAATTTTGTATCAACTCTACCCTCGCTTCTGTTAGGTAAAAATAATGTGAATTCCAATCATGCGAATAAGTTTATTTTAAACGCGCTACGGCACACATGCCCTCTCAAGAGAGATCCTCATGAAGAACTGAGCACTCTTGAGAAGTAGCTAGTTCAAAGGCAGAATGTCGTGTATAGAAATTGGCAAAATGTGGATCCATCCTGACTACCTACAAGTTGCCCAGTGCTTTTCAAAAGGGAAACAATATAAGGGGAACACCGCAAGGGCTTGGAACATTCAGTCTTCATGTTATACGTTTGAGAAAAGGGTTTATTTTTCTGTGAATCAAGTGACTCACTATCCAAGATATTTGCAATCAGCTATATATATAGTCATGCCTTGAACTGCTGGGAAATAAAAAGCTCATGGAAGAGAAGTTTTGACCCAGAATATTTTTTTCAAATCAACAAGTTTTGGGCACTCAACCTTTTCTAATATTTGTACTCATTAGCACTAACTACTTGTCTGTGGCCTTCTTGGGTTCAATTTCAGTGTCCGGTAATTTCAGTAACTTCTCTGTAACCTAGACTGTCTTATTGTTAATTACAGCACCTCGTGCTTTGGGATTCGCTTTTTTGTATGCTAAGAAGGATAATCCCCAGGTTTTCGCGGAAAATTTCCACATTTTTATGGAGCAGGATAGCATGCCGCCCAAACATTTATTACAAAAAGAACAGATCTAACCTAGATGATGCTGCCTTCTATGGCTTCTTAGTGAAATGCTAGTTAGACGTGATTTGTGACGAAACGTTTCTCGATAAGAAGAATAGACACGGTTGGGAGTTGCTTGATGGCGTCTTGTCAGTGTGTAGCTATAGATTTCTCGAAATTCCGCCAGGATGTAGCTTTCTCCCACAAATAGAATTTTTGAACTTCACAATCCAAAGGATCAAGCTTGGACAAGCTTTTAGGGGAATTTTTGGTACAAAAATAACAAACCGTGAATACGTGAGGCTATGTGAAAGGTCTGCTGAAACTGTCGTTGTGAGATTCGTCAGGATAAAGGGCAGTTTCTGTGGCCATCAAACTGTCATTAGATTCAGCTGTATGAGATACCCAGGATGGCTACTTGGAATTCAGTAGGTTAAACGGAGTGAATTCAGGGATCATATACATATCTTCCCAAGATACAGGCCAAAAAATTACAATCAATTTATTCCTTGAAATTCTAGTAAAGATCTGTCGTTTAGCCAACCGTAAAGATGTATTTAGTAGCAATTATCAAAGTCGTAACTGTTAATCATTGCGCTGTACTCCGCATCGTTCAGTCAACATCCTGATTGACTGGAAGAATCAACGACACAATCAGCAGTTTTCTGCACCTAAATATTGATAAATAAAACGCTAACACCAGTTGACTCATATTCGCACTGTGTAGAAGCATTTGGCAGGGCTTTTAGACTGTCAAAAATGGCTGTTTTATATTTGACATAAGCGTGACAAGGACTAGCCAGCTTAAGAAAAATGTACACTTTCGTACCACTACTTTCCTACTTCCATTTATCTAACTTTGAGCGATCTCATTAAGTATTATTTTTGCAGCTTTCCAAATCCGTTTAGTCTCCATGGAAGCGTTTAAAAAATTTTGGTGAGGAACTTACACTAATGAGCTCAAATTATCAACTGACTACCGGTGAAAAGCGACTGTAAAGTCTGAATAGTCACTGGTTCTTAAAAAGAACCTGATAAATGATAAACTAATGCCATTGACATTTAGTAAATGTTGGCAGTAAATCAAATCCACTGGTTGGGTTCGA